ACTGTCTGCAGGTTCGGTACGACTTCATGTAGTAATCTGCTCCACAGGGAGAGACTGAGTTTGGTCAATTTCAGGATGAAGTGAACCTAGGTGTGTGCAGCCTCTTTCATCCCGGTGAACATCGACCAAGTGAGCAGGATTCAGGTGTCTCCAGGCCAGGGTCCCATTTCTCATTGGGCCCTCCCAGGAGTGAGTTAGACATCCCAGGCAGACCTTTTGCTGCCAAAATTATAAGGTGTGTCTCCATTTGTATCCTATTTATAATAAATGAGTTTAAGTTGAACATTAAACATATCTGTTAGCTTCCCACAAGCCACATATAATCTGGAGCAGGCAAAAGAAGTCATATAGGAGCCCAGGAGAAGGGGTAGGCTCTCAACCTGCTCCAGTTGCTGATGTGGTGCAGAGACTTAATCACTTGTGAGTGTGTGTCATCTCTCAAACACAATACTCTTTTCCTTGTAGAGATTTCTAATGGGATATATCTTCCTCAATTTCAAGATATACTTAACATAGCAAGATCCCTCTACTAACTGTAAAAACAAGTAATTCATTGAACCACACACTTATGGTTCCATGTGTGATGGGATTACCTGAAGTGAACAAATCCCGCACCAACTGTACTTTTGCAACCTGTTTGTGGTCAGTGATACAAATACAGGTTTTGACCTCTGACACTACACTTATATTTAGAAGTCATCCTTGGCCTTCCCAAGAAATGGCTTCTCAAATGTGCATCTGAATAATGAAAGCTATTGGATTATATAAGAGATTTACCCTTTACTGAATTTCATTTAGAGCTAAGTCATTTTAAAAACCACAATTACCCACATGGAAAAACTTCTACTTGAAAAATTTGTGTAATTTGAACACAGAAAAACCAATTGTTTGAAATTTAATAAACCATTTTCCTCTCAGGCTCAAAATGTAGGAGCAGTGCAGAATAGAACTTAATGTGTGAATTATAAACTTCTGAAAATAGAGGCTTATAACCACGATTTCAAGGATTTTCTTTACAGTGCATTCTCCAATGCCTCAGCCAATATATTTCTAAATATCCCAAGAGACTGCTTTCTAAGCCTGCTCTCTTCACCAGCCCAATAACTCAGAGCAGGTGCATAATTTTTCCAATTTTTCCTTGGAAATTTCACTTGCGCTGACACCAGAATTTAAGCCAGAATTTCATTCTGATACTGACTGCCTGGATATTCCAAATTTCATGGTCCACTTTCACAGTTCTGGGCCAAGCTCTATTTTACTGGCAGGCCTTTGCGTGGACAGGTGTCTGAATCCTGGTGCTCCCCTCCTCTGAGCTTAGCTTGGCCAAAAGGCAGAAGACGAAAGCTCTATTTCCGCCAGAGTCTAAGCAGGCACAGGGATGGTCAGAGGGTGCGTGACCCAATCCTGGACTTGGCAGATCTCTATTTAACAGCACAGACACCCAGAGCCAGGCTCAAAGCTCAGCATGGCCAAGGCTCTTCATCATTTCGAAGCTATGGCTAAAGTGTACTGTGATAATCTATTCGAAGCAAATACAGGGTGTGGTGCAGAATCCCTGCAAATCAGCTGCAATTATTATTCTCAGAATTGCTACCCTCTTCTGGAGCTGTGGGGGAATTAACTCTCTGGTACACTATAACATACAATTACCAGTCCTGAGGAGCCCCAGCCCCTGAAGACACCCTGGAGCGGATTCCATCTCAGTCTTTCTTTGACAGGCCTTGAAATGAGCTCCACTGAGGCTGGGGGTCCCTCTGGCAAACTCACTGCAGGGCCACCTGCTCTCCTGGCCTCTTTGTTTTTTGTTTGTTTGTTTGTTTGGTTTATTTTTTTTAATTTTTATTTATTTTTTGTACTGGGGAGTGAACTCAGGTCCTTGCACTTGCAAAGCAGGTGGTGGAAACACTGAGCTAAATCCCCAGCCCGTGGCCTCTCTCTTATTGAACAAAGTGCCGTGCAAGTCTGCAAATTCAGTTTTTACTCCAGCTTTGTAGAGTCAGGGTGTACCTTGAATTCTGTCTTCTGTTTTAAAGCTGACCACAGAGGGCAGCAGAGGCCAACAGGGCACAGAACAGTTCTCCAGAGACAGAATTTCAGAGTGGCCTGCAGGACTCTGATGTCATCTGTATGCATAAAGAGACTCCTCCCCCAAAACCGAGAGGCACTTGGTCCTGTGGTGAAGACAGCCCCTGACCAGCCCTCAACACGGACTGGTGCTGCTTTTAGACAGGTTCACCCACTCCAGAAAAGCCAGAGGACTTCTGCCCCCAACTCAGGTCCTTGAAATGCATGTCACATGCAGCCTGGGTTGGTTCCAAGTGCATGTCCTGAATTGCACCTGCTCCCTTTCAATTCTGGGCATTTCACACAAGAATAAATTCCTACTGGGTAAGAGACACAAGGAATCCAGCTTTCTTGCATGCTTCTGTCTTTGCACTGTATACCTAGCGATGTTTACAAACAAATCTCTCAAAAGTAAAAGAGAGGTTTTTGAGCAAAGTGGTGGGCAGCTTTATGAGCCTAAAAGGTGGTAATCTGCTAATGGCAGTTGGATATCTTCCACTGCTCCCTCTGTCCTTGGCCATAGCAACAGTTGGTGCTAAGAACGTTGGGGATTTCTGTGTAAATGCACACCTGCACTCGCTTGCTTCCAAAATTAGCATCTGATTCTATGTAATTATTTCTTTTATACTCATTTGTGAATTTCATGCCATAGTTCTTTTTAAAAGAATGAGCTTTCAATGCCTAAAAAAATATCAAAACTTGACATACACCTACCATGAGAGCTCTGTTTCTCTTAGATATGTAAGCAAGTTGAATAAAACACTTAATTTAATCTAAGCAATTAAATTTTAAGATCATATTACAGAATATTCTCAAGGAGGAAGACAATCGATCGGGAATAACACAATTCAATATACTGAAAGAGCAAATGCATTTTTAAAACAAGGCTGATCTCATTATCATACATGAGATATATTTATTCAGATTCTTATGTATGAGGTAGTGAATTTGCAAATTAATGAAGAGTTTCCCGGAGGAAAAAACATCTCTAAGTTTGGGGAGATTTATGTACCTAAGCAGGAGTGGCAGAAGCCTAGGAATGAAATTGTCATTTGAGAAAAGACTTAAGCACTGAGAAATGCTTGAATACATTCTAGACTTAGAGGATAAGTTTTCAGTTAATATGAGTAATAGATCTGAGACTCACACACTTAAATCAACTCAGAAAGAGGAGAAACTAAGGGAAAAAAAGAAAAAAATGCTCCAGAAACAGCACACACAGGAATTCTCCACAGCCCCTTCTTTACTTAGCCAATCTTGCTGGCTGAACTGACTACAACTCAAAGACTCAACTGTGTCTTCACCCAGAGTAAACTTTTCCTCTTTCACCCCTCAAAAGCTAAGCCTAGCTGATTGCCTCTCTTGCAAAATAAACCATTCACACATGTTCAGAACATTAAATTGTCTCCTCCTCTAGTCCTCAGTCTAAATATCTTCAGTTCTTTACCTTTACTTCCTGGATTCTATCCACCATGTAATAAATTCACCAAACGCTGGTCTTCGCTCTGAACGCTCTCCTCTCCAAGGTCCCCAGGCAGCCTAAATTGTGGAGCTCAGAACTCCACTGAAAGCAGAGGCTTACGTCAAAATCTTTTAAGAGATTGAGCTCAAAACTCCAGTGGCTCCAAGCTACTTCCTCCAGCAAAAAGGCAAGATGCTACAATTTTTATCACTAGCAGCTAGGAACTGGATGGAGAATCCCTCATGCTTGACTCCTTTTCTGGACTGCTTGCAAAATTCAAGGCAATTCATCCACTGAGTTTTTCCTCCATTTTGGTTAAAATATTTAAGTACTGTTGCTAGCTGTTTTTCTAATGCACTAGTACAAAATGCAAGACTTACTGTTGTGAAAATTTTGGTCATCAATTCCAGAAAAATGATAGAAGACGAAAAAGGCTAAAGGCAGATTCAAGGCCGCACATCATTTTTCCTAAATTTTCAAGAGAGAGGACACATAGCTCTTCCCTTTATTGGAATTCTTCCTTAATCGTATTTTAAGTTTCAAAATGGTAAAAAAAAAAATGTTGATCGGAATTTAAAAAGAAATAACCATCAAGTCACTCTTGAGGCTTTATAAATGTGCAGAAAATACTTTGGGCACAGACTGTGTGGGGATCCCGCCCGAGATTACCCTGCCCAAGTGAGCAAGTGGATCGCAGTCCTGTCCACAGTGAGACTTCCCGTGGTCCAGTACAAAAAGATTTCATCTAATACAGTTCACCGCTCACCACACTTTCAGCACCAATAAAAACAACTTTGCAAAAATCCCGCTAAGCAGTATACAACGCCCACCACCAAAGTGCTTCTCACATTAAGAAACGGTTTTGAAGTTCTGCCTGACAAGACAAACACAGGAGGGACCTGAAACCACCACAAAAAGTCTCATTTAAATTCCTGGAAAGCAGGGCTCCTCCAAACACAGCCATTCAGCTAGCTGGAGCAGGGCATAAAACTTCACTCTTCTCCTGACATCAGCACCTTCTGTGCAGCTGAGACTGACATGTGTTCCTCGCTCAGAGGAATGCACCCAACAGCCACTCTGCGCAGGGCGGCGGAAAGTAAGCTAACCCCAGGCTCAGTTCTCCCGCCAGCTGAGAGCCTAAGCATCCACACAGTGCTTTAGGATCCCTAAGACCCCTTCCACCCCGCAACATTGTAGCTATAGAGAACAAGACACCACCAGAACGCACTTCGAGCTGGAAGCCTGCAGTTTCGCAGGGTTGTGGGCCGGGGAAGACAGTACAATTCTTCACTCCCGGCCACAGCCCAAATGCAATGCAATAACTTCGCACTGCTACAGAGCCGGGCCAGGGTCTCTGCACAGGGCGCGAGCCCCATGTCAGTCCGTCGCCCTCTCTTCTCCTGGTTCTGCTCTCCCCACGCGCCCTCCATCCTCCCATGCTGGGAACTGCTGTCCCCGCGACTAGCGCACCAACCTGCTCCCCGCCGCGCTGCGCTCCGGTCCGGAGCTCGGCGGTGC